TCCTGATTCAAGGGCTAACTGGCTCTGACTAAAATAGTTTTGAGCCCCAGTTCTAGATTTCAGGGACAGAAGACACGAGTGGTCCAGCTTTGGTCAGGTGTCCACTCCTGGTGATCATGGACTGGAATCAGGATAGTGTTGTAGAAACATGGCCCCAGAGATTACCCTGGTGTGATAGGATAGGGGACAGTTCTCAGAGAAGAGAAGGAATGAGCAGAAGACATGACATGGAAAAGGGGTCAGAAGAAAGCAGTTGCTCAGGAATCTCTTCTGTTAGAGGACAAAACCCCTATACTCCAGCTGGCTCAGGAACTCAAAGTTGAAGGTGTAACAGAAGGCCCAGCAAGAGCTCAGTGCTGAGTGGCTTTATCCATGAAGATCTCAAAGCCACCCCAACTAAGGAGTGCTTTTTTTTTTTAACCAGCCTTTCTTTGTCTGCCAGCCTTAGTTTACCAGTCTTAATTTTTGTCTAGTGTCTCTTGCAAACTCTTTAATACACTGTTGCCAGCCAGTCAACTTTCCTAAACGTACTAATTTATGTGCTTCCTGCTTAATTTTTTCCCACAGCTCCCTGATGTCTACAGAAGTATAGACTTTAACATGGTTCATGTGACTGTTGTCTTGCCCCACCCCAGTTGTTTCTCTAGTCTCAGCCCTGGCACAGCTACCTCTCAGAGCCTCAGCACTTCCAGAACAGGACCTTGGCCACCTCACTGTGATGACTTCTTTCTGATGTGAACTTCTTATGAACAAAGACCCACCCACTTGTGTTTCTATTTCTACCCCACCTCAGAGAGTGAAAAAACTGTAATTCATATATTTACATCATTTTCTAGTTGACAGAGGCTTTCGTCAACATTCAAGGAGGAGATAATCTTCACCCCAATCTTGTGAGACAGGTGTATCCCTGCTGGAGATAAACTCAGCTTGGAATGGGTATTGGACTAATATTTACTGACAGCCTACTGTATGCCAGAGATAGTACTGGGTGTTTACATGTTTTATGCATTTCAGTTGAGAGCTAACCCCATTTTGAAGGCTCAGTTCAGTTACATTACCTGTTCAAAAGTGTACTTTCATACTCTTGGTGACACATATTTGAGCCGTAGTTGTCTCTGTCTCCTAATTCTGTGCACTTCATATTCTGCGGTGCCAAACCTGGGCTGGCTGGAGATATGAATGGACTTTTCCCACTGCTGTGGACCAATATTCTGGGCACTCAGGGAGCAAGCACTTTGGCCTGTGGCCAGGGCAGAGCCTTGGGCCAGCCTGCCGGTGAACCCTCCTGCTTTAGTCAAATGAATAGCTGGCTTCCTAGGGCTTATTCCTCAGGTCAAGATTAGCAGCTCTGTCCCTTAGGTCCACTCTTGTGACATTTTCTAAAAATGAACTCTGTGTGTGGAAACGTGAACCCACTTGGGCCCTGGGTCCAGTCCTTGAATGGGGCCTAGGATCCAGTAGCCCCACAATAAATGATGGAAAGAAAGAGGAAGAGAAGGGAAGAGGAGAAAAGGGAAGGAAGGAGGGAAGGAGGAAGGAAGGAGGGAAGGAGGAAGGAAGGAGAAGGAAGGAGGAAGGAAGGAAGGAAGGAAGGAGAAGGAAGGAGGAAGGAAGGAAAGAAGGAAGGAAGGAAGGAAGGAAGGAAGGAAGGAAGGAAGGAAGGAAGGAAGGAAGGCTGGATGGCTGCCTGCCTGCCTGTCTGCCTGTCTCCAGCTTCCTGATGAGAAGGGGCTGAAACTTTGTGAGGCTGGGAGCGAAGGGGTTCATAACTGCCATTGTGAAATTGATTGGGCCCAAGACTGGTATGAAAGTTCCTTGTCTGAAGGGAGCAATCCTTAAATCCCCATATGGTTTAAATGTAATCTGTGTCATTGTGAAGGAGTACTGGCAATGCTGGAGAATTCATTAGGCCAAATTGGGTTCGCTCTGCTCGACAGTAGCGTTTCTGAAGATGAAGTTCAACCTTTGCTGGAGAGCTAAAACGGATGAGTTTCTTAATAGCTGCCCCACTTAGTCCGAATGTCTTAGGAAGCTTAATGTTTTAGTGCCTCTTCTTTTTACCGTACTTCACAGTCCATCTAACATTGCTGCTTCTGGTAATATTTTTATATGGGGTTGAGTTCTTTGGTGTCCGTAAAATACAACTCAGGTCCATTTTTTTTTTTTTTTAAAAGAATAGAAGCTTTCCTGCCGTAAGCATCTACCATGTGTCCTTCTGGTTTTGTTTTGCATATTGATCAGCACCAGTCTGGTCATGTGTGGCTTTTCAAACTGATAATTCCCCATAATTTCAGCTTCAAAAAGAACTTCACCAACAAGTGGCAAAGCAGGAGCAGAAAATATGCTGGATTGTGGTGTGGGGGTGGGCAAGCCCAGGCACCATGTCCAGGTGCTTCCAGGTCTACCCTGGAACATCACGATCTCATTATGAAGGCTGCAATGACATGAGTGGCTGCTCTGTTAGTCCAATGAAGAGATTTCAGGAATAATATTTCATAAATCTAGATCTCTATTGCATATGCTAAGATACATATGTTGGCCTAATTTTCAAGCCTAGAAGAAACCAGAAGAAACTTGGCATGGAAGGTAGCACACACCTTTAATCCTATCAACTGGGAGACAAATCAGGTGGATCTCTGTGAGATCAAGGCCGGCCTGGTCTACATAATGAGTTCTAGGCCAGTTAGGGCTACAGGGAGACTCCGTCTCAAAAAGGCATACACACACATTCAGACTCACACACACATACACATACACATAAAATAGGCAAATTAAAAAGTGTATTTGTAAAAAATAAAGTGTACTTGTAGTAAGTTGAGAAACAGTGGTTACGTAGCCATGAGTAAAATAGCCTTGCTTTTATAATTAATTTCAAAGAATTTCATTTTTAAGAATGAAGAACCCTATTAAAAAATAGGTGATCTTTGGCTGTCTGGCTCTCAACCCAAAAGATGAGCCTTATGAGCTGTTGGCATGTCTGAAAGTTTTCTCTTTGATATGGGCCCCATTTGTTGTGTGAAGGGGACCAGGCTCCCATGCCAGTAGACTGCTTTCCAACTTAGGCCTCTTAGCTTTGCTGGTCCTGTGCCAGGCAACCCCCCAGAACATAGGACAGTGAGCTGCTGCCAGATCTTGCTTGGCACATAAGTAGAAAAATACACTTTGTTTTTCAAGGGGTGATTCACTGCTCTCTTAAAAACCTTACTCTCCAGTTTACCTCAGACTCCCTAGACATATGGTGTGACTTGTCCTAGTTTACTTTTTAAACATCTTTAACTCTTTCAAAACCTTGACAACATAGTTTCTTAATTGGTAACTCCTGCTGAACCATGTAAGAAACACACATAAATATTATTCAAATAGATTGTTGGAAGGGGTCAGATGAAATTGGGTACTAAATTTGTTCAGGTTAGGGACTGGAGAGATGGCTCAGCAGTTAAGAGCACTGATTGTTCTTACAGAGAACCTGGGTACACTTACATACATGCAGGAAATACATTCATATACATAATATTTTTTTAAAGCTTGAAATTCTTTTTTCAGGTAAAATGTAAATGTTTTAGGTTCTGGAGCTGGAGGCATGGCTCAGCAGTTAAGAGCACTCACTGCTCTTACAGAGAACCTGGGTTTGATTCCCAGAACCCACATGGCAGCTAACAACCATCTGTAACTCTAGTTCCAGGGAAATCCAACACCTTCTTCTGACCTCCACAGGCATTGCATGGCACAGGTGCAGTTAGTTATACACATGCAGGCATAATACTCATACACATAAAATAAAAATATGTAAATAAAGTATTTTTAAAAAAATTTAGGTTCTTCAAGTGCAAAAGACAAGTTGCTTCACTAAAAATGTTTCCTTGAGGGTTCTGGAAAGATGACTCAGCAGCTTCGAGTACTTCTGCTCTTCCAGAGGACCTCAGTTTGGTTCCCAGCACCCATATCAGGTGACTTGCAACTGTCTAAAACTCCATCTTCAGGGGCTCTGACACCCTTTTCTGGCCTCCAGGTACCAGCACACACATGCCTGTATGTACACAGATACACACATAAATAAACATAAATCTGTAAAAAAATGTTGTCTTGAAAGTGTGTTTAAGCCAGGTATGGTGTTGCATACCTCAGCACTTGGGAAGCAGAGACCCAGGGTGATTGTGAGTTCCAGGCCGGTATGAGCTTCAAGGCAAATTCAAGGCCAGCCTGAGCTATATAGTGAGACCCTATTTCTAAAATTATGAAGTTGAGAAAAAAAAATCTTCTGTTCCTCTTGTCTAAATATTAATAACTGATCCAGCATTGTACACCCAGGAAAATACACACACAGCCCCCAAACGTCTTCCCCACTGTTCTGGATTTCTTAAGGAGTTTGGTAGATGGATCCTCATAGTCACTGTTCCATAAATTTGAGGGATTGACAAAGTAGCTGGCCACGGGATAGTATTTTATTAAATTCTTGTTTCCTCAGTCCTGGGGATGAATCCTGGCCCTTTCACAATGCAAGGCAAGCCCTTTTCCACTGAGATACACTTCCAGCCCCATTTGGTTAAATTTGCAGGCGCTAGTGAACAAATTTATTCTGTTCAATGCTTTCTTCTCTTCTACTTGGGATTGCATGTGGAAAGTACAAAATCCCACAGCTATCAAAATGACAGTGAAATGAGGAGACCAGAGGTAACTGAGATCCCTCTCTTCCATTTTAAACTTGACCTTTAACTTGCTCAGTGGCACCCAGCAACTTTAGCTGCAGATGGCCCAGAGGCTCCCGTTCAAGTGATGGCAGGAGCAGTGAGAGCCACACCAGGTATTTTTTCCTAGCCTGCTTTCTGGAACTGCAATTGGCTTATCTTTGCCTGGACTCCATGAGTGGAGGCTGACAGCCATCTGGTGTCTGAAAGGAAAGTCTGTTCCAGGGAGCACACCGGCCCTCTGCCCTAATGGGGAAATAAGAAAGAATTGAAGTGCATTCAGCTTGGTTGTGTGGGCAGAAGGATCTTCATCCAAACGACTTTGAAGATCTGCTTTGTGTGTGGGTATGGGTGTGTGTGTGTGCCCATATCCTTTTCTCAAAGGAACCACCACAGGGAATTTATCAGGCTTTCTCACTGAGAGTGATGGTCTAGGCAAAACTCTGTGTTAGCCACTTGGATAACACTGGCAGCTTCAAGTTGGACAGGCTATTTTGGGGACTCTTAACTGCTTTCTGGACACCTTTACTGAGCCAAGTGGTGGAAATGAAAGATGAGTGACTTTGAAGAATGGATTTCTGGGACATACAGAAACATGGAAGAAGGTCCTCTCCCTCTGTTGACTTTTGGTACAGCTCCCTACCATGACCAGAAACCAGGAACCAGTGGATTACGGAAGAAAACCCATTACTTTGAGGCAAAGCCATGCTACCTGGAGAATTTTATCCAGAGCATATTCTTTTCCATAGACCTAAAAGATCGCCAGAGATCATCATTGGTGGTCGGTGGAGATGGGCGGTATTTTAATAAATCAGCAATAGAAACAATAATGCAGATGGCAGCTGCCAATGGGGTTGGTATATGATAAGTATTATATTTCTGACTTTCCAAATAACCTCTTAATTCTGCAGACATACCCAAATTCACAGAGGTGAAAGAGAGAGAGAGGGAGAGAGGGAGGAAGGGAGGGGGAGAGAGAGAGAGAGGAGAGAGAGAGAGAGCTACACCTCAGTTCTAACACCCACTTGAATTTCACTGTGACTTCAGAGATTTAAATGCTGTGAAATACTCCAGAATTGCAGTAGTAACAGAGGGATCTGGGAATTAAGTCCAGCTTTATATGTGTTGTGCTCAGTCCTTGTAGCTTGGAAAGTACCTGTTGCTTTTTTAGACATTTAAGGCAGACTCCTGGCCTTAAGCTTTTGTTCGTGCATGCTAACTAGCTTCCAGAGGCACCTTAGCCTATGTCAGAGAGCTGTGATGAGTTGTGGAGAGTAGAGGATTTGCTGTGCTTTCAGTGGCTTCCTTGTTGAAGTTCAGTCAGTTGTCAAACAGGGAAACAAAACCCAGGGCATGCTGTTGTTTGTGGGTCTTGGTAGTCATGCAAAAATAGTGAGGGGGGATTAGTAAAAGTTAGGTCTGAGACTTCGGAGAAGAGCCGGTACAGTGTGATCTGTTTATAATGATCTTGGACACAAAGAAGCCCTGTGTGTGGATGAATTTGTGCAGCAGAGTAGAGATAACAGTTCCTGTAAGACAATAATATATGTAGGCTCTGCCAAAGCTCTGCATCATGAAGACACATGTTGGCCAGATTAAGTGAATCAGAAGGAATATCACACCAGAAAACACTGGTTTGGGTCATGTAACGGTTTGCATAGCTCCACTCATTTATGGGAAGATGAGCCTCAGGATGATGCTTTTGTTATCTAGATTTCACTGTGGGACTCAAAATTTTTTTTTCAGTACTTTAGATAATACTTATCTAGAATTTGGAGCACATGATTTTTTTTTTTTAAACTGTGAAATTTAAAAGTTTTTTGTTCTGGAAGAAATTCTGGTCCTGAAAACATATTTAGCACTGCAGTCAGATGTGTTAGGGATTTATTTTCATTCTGTTTCAATGATGTCCCAAGCAGATGCTTGCAAAAAGCAAATTATAAAAGGAAAACTACCAAAGTAAACTTAAAAACGTTACATCCTATTGTCTATGATATAGGGTTTCCTTTGAAACTTAGGCTCAGAATCTGAATGCCTCTCATGTGAAAATTGCTGATAAAGCACTCAAATATGAAATTATTATGAAGCATACGCATTTTTAAGATAAAATGTGACACGCCATACATTTCGTCTTGGGGGAGAGCTGCACAGGGAATGGTATTAAGATGCTTTAATCTTTTGAGAGGGGCGAATGGGGACATTATTTCTCCATCTACCAGGCTGTTGAGTGAATCTGCTACATTGTCCCCTTTGCTGTGATATATTTGGCTTCATTTCATTTTTGTGTAGAGCTGAAGGATGGGGAAGAGGTGGTAAGAATGCATAATTCAGGCAGACCCTATAGACTGTCTCTGATTTACCGTTTGAAGGTTTGCTAAATAATACATTCCGGAGATAATAATTGATTAAATATGGTAACTCCCTATTTGTTAAGGCTGTGGCAGCCCGAGCAATATTTTTAAGTCTTTTCAAGGACATTCCTTATTAAAAACAGCATTGCATTGAAAGCAGTCATGTTAGGTGGCTAAATTACTTAAAACATTTAGTGGGCTGATAAAATACTTTAATCCGATAAAAACTGAAATTCTAAGGACCTTGCTTCGTTTCTTCTTTTAACGCAGCCTCCATTCTGACTATTTTAACATCTCTGGTTGTGGTTGGATGCAGGGACTCTAAGGAAGGATAACTGTTACCACAGATTTTGGCAGATGGCAGTGTTCTTTGCTTACTGTTGCTAGTGGCTGCTCCCTCCTAGTGAGTTAAGTGGAGACTGTGCCACCTCTCCCCCTCTAATAGGCTATATGTGGTGCATCTTTGGAGTACAGAGTATAATTCCCCTTCATTAGAACTTTCTCTTTGTTCTCATTTGCATAGCGCCATCTACTTTTTTGTTTTGTTTTGTTTTTGAGGTGGGGTCTCCCTGTAGCCCCAGCTGGCCTGGAACTCACTGTGTAGACCAGGCTGGCCTCCCTCCACCTCAGAGATCCACCTCCCAAGTGCAGGGATTAAACATGTGTGACACCATGACAGTAAGCTAGTATCTACTTTTACAGGACATTTTAATACACGAAATAAGTCATTAGTGGGCCCCATATTGGTGTCTCATGCTGTCCCCAGAGCTTTGAAATTAGAGAAGGTTCAGAGATGAGTGACAGGAAAAGAAAATGGGCTTAGCTTGTTTTAAAGAAACATGAGTCACCAAACTGTTTTCCCTTGACTGGGGAAGGTAACATAGAACATCAGATTTATCACTTTAGGCATTTCTCAGGGGCACTTATAGTCATCATCATCCATAGTCAGAACTTTTTCACAGTCCAATCAGAAATTCCAGTGACAGAAACAGCTGTTCCCATACCCCCATTCTCCAGCCCCTGGGATCGTCAAGTCTACTTTTTGTCTCAATGTACTTGCCTGATCTAGGTCCCTTGTGTAAGTGATATTCAACACTTGTCTTTTAGTGTCTGTCAAATTTCACTTAGCATAGTGTTTTCATGACTCCTTTATGTAGGCACATGGATCAGAACTTCACTCTTCCCTTCTCCTTGAGTTCAACAAAAAGATTTTAAGCTGGGTATAGTGGTACAATCCTGTAATCTCAGCACTTGGGAGGCTGAGGCAGGAAGATGCAAGTTTGAGGCTATCCTGGAAAATATATCACCTGTCTCAAAAAAATAAAACGAGTGTCCCCTTATGCGTAGATAGCAATACCATCTTTGAATGGTAAACTATTTGATAGTAACCAATTTAAAAGACAATTTGACTGTAATAAAAACATAATTCACTGTCATAGCCATTTCAACTATATGGTTCAATAGTGTTAACCATATTCATATTGCTATGCAACAGATCTTTAGAATGTTTTCATCTTGTTAACCTAAAACTCAACACCTATTAAATAACTCCCCATTTCTCCCTCCCCTGAGCTCTCCCTTCCCCATTCTGTTTCTGTGGTTTTGATGACTTTAGATAGCACATGGAAGGGGAATCATGCAGTAATCTGTCTTTTTGTGGCTAGAGGATTTCACTCAGTTTAAGTCCTCAAGATCCTTTTGTATTGCAGTGTGTGACAGGATTTCCTTTTTTATTTTAACGTCTGCTTTGTTTCTCTACTACTTTACTTCCCCACCCACCCATTCACTCAACACCCTCCAATCTGATTTCCTTCCATTTAAGACTGAATAATATTCCATTTTGTGTATGTGCAATGCATTGTTTATCCGTTCGTCTGATGGAGGACATTCGGGTTATGTTCCCTGTGTGCCTGCTGTGAGTAGCGCTGCTGTGAACAGTGGTGTGTGAGCATTTGAGTCCTGCTTCCAGTTCTTCTCTGCCTAGGGCAAGAACTTCTGGATTGTGTGGTACAGAGAAGGCTTTAAGGCAAGGAGGGCAACAGCAAAACCTTCCCTATGGCAAGTTGAGATGTCATGTTCTGGAGGGTGGTCCATAGGAACTTGCTCTGGAACCTTCAGCCCATCAAGGGAAGTAACCGTGAACTTTCTTGCACCGGTCTCCTCTTACTCTGGTCCCTGGCATGATCCCTTCAACCTGCAATCATGGCACAAGAACAAATGGTGGAATGGCGATTTGCATGGTTTAGCTTACTGTTTATCAAACTCTCCTTCCATATCAAAAACATACAGAATAGATGTAAAAGTTAGTATGTTCATTGTGAAAATACGATTTTTGAATAATTCCACCAGCTACTTTTAAATTACTACCCCTAAGTTCTTTTCACAGAAACTGAAATTACCTGATTCCAGGCTATTATTTTTATCATAATCATTAAAAAAAAAACCCTCTGGAAGGGTGAACCATCTCCTGTTCCCACTGTGTAGTCAGGTTTCAATGCCTTTCCCAGCTACAGCTAACTTTCTATGTGACATATTCATGTCATCTATCCCAACAGTGGCCATAGCTCTCTTCTATGAGCGCTAATCAGAATGAAGGGATGGGTGGGATTGGGACAACTCTGGCAATGTCACTTAGAAGGAACAAATCTGAGATGGACTGGAAGTCCTGTGAGGTGTATAAAGCCATGGCAGGTCAGGCATAATCACCAGTATTGATTGTGTATTTTCTGCAGGTCCCTCTAGTCCAGAAAGGAGCCTACTTATGGCATCAGTTCTGGTGGGGAGGCAGGATGTAACAAATACATTAGGGAACTACAACAAAAATTATTCAGAGCTAGCGGTGAGAGCCAGAGAGCAAAGAAAAAGAAGCAGCTGTTTGGTTGGGCGTGGTAGTACACACCTTCGGTCCCAGCACTGAGGGTGGGGTGGGGGTGGGGTAGGGGTGGCAGAGGCAGGCAGATCTCCCTGAAATCAAGGCCAGCCTTTCTGTGTAGTGAGTTCCAGGCTGGCTAGGGCTACCAGGAGACCTGTCTCAAAACAAAACAAAACAAAAACCAAACAAAAAAAGAAGCAGCTTCTTTTTGAAAGGAGTTGGGTAGTGGAGGAAGGAGTGGATCATAAGGACTCAAGTTTTCAGTGATCTGTGTAGAGTGGGGATGGCGTTACAAAGCTAACAACTCAGAAAACGTCTCCAGGGAATTCAGGTATCTCATTATATTTCACATTAGAAAAATGTTCTATCATCAAGCCATTTCTTCAAACATATTTATATGGGTGTGACAAAAACACTAATAGAAAATTAAAAATAAAACCAATCCTGATTCTTTTCTTAGAAAGGAGGCTAGAGAAAAGCACACACTGATCTAAGTATTTTCAGTGTAGCAGTCCCACCTTCTCCAAGTATGCCAGGTGCTAACTAAACTTCTCTTCCAACTTGGGCCCTGTTGAAACAGACATGACTTCATTTCAGCAAAGGAAGGTTTCAGAGCTTGACTGATGCCGACCATGAAAGATGCAGGGAAGTGAGTGGGGAATGCAGCAAAGTCCCCATGTCCCTTTCATATAGGTGGGACTGACTGATTTTCTCAGCACTCACTCCCCACATTCTTGTCTTAGAGCCAGGAGGTAACCAAGGTGTGCCTAACGTGATGTACTTGAGGAATCCCACTGTATGAAAAAGTCAAGCTTGCCTGGAAAGATAAATTTATAAGAAGTATAATGTTTATTTTATTATCTTCTTTTATTTTTATGTGTATGAGTATATTGCCTGCATGTAGGTGAGAGCACCCGTGTCGTGCAATGCCTGCAGAGGACAGAAGAGACCGTTGGATCCCCTGTCTGGAGTTACAGACAGTTGTTAACTGCCATGTGGGTGCTGGGATTTGAACCCGGGTCTTCTGGAAGAAGAACCAGTGTTCTTAACTGCTGAGCCATCTCTCCAGTCCAGAAGTATATTGTTTTTAAAAAGATTTTATTTTTATTTTATGTGTATGAGTGTAAGCCTATAGGGAGTGCTCTGGGCCCCAGGCGTGGTGTGTGCGGGTATCGCGGGGTCCCCGCCACACCTGGCTAGTCGCGGTGTGGGTCTGGCCACAGGCGTCTCTGGCTGCGGCGGCAGGTGCCCCGCAGGCTTTTCCCGCCGGCTCGGGTCCTGTGTCTCTGTCGGCGCGTGTCTGGTGCTGAAAGTTTCTCTGCTACTGGAGCGTTGTCCAGCCGAATCCTGTCCCTTTTCCACCCGTGTACTTTCCTCAGGATGCGAGGTCCACTGGCCACTGAACCACGCGGGAAGAGTACGAGGACAGCGAAAGCTAGAATGTCCGAAAGTCGGTAACGAGGGAGTGCTGCCCCCCGGGGAGGCTAGATTGCAGGCAGGAGACACAGAACTCAGTCTACAGCTCTTTATTCCAAGTCTCAGTGACCCAGTTCTCGCTCTAGCTCTAAGTCTTCTTCTAGCTCCAAATATTGAGAGAAGACTAGGATATTTATACCATGGGGGTAGTGGTAAAAGCTTTGGCTGTTAGATACTTTGTGAGACATTCTGTTTACATATGGAAGTGGGTTTCTGCCAGACTGCTGTCTGCCTGAAAATCACAGGAAGGCATGGTATTCCTAAAGCCAGAGGCCATGTTTGTGTTTAGAGCATTTGTGGCGGGCACTTCAAAAGGAGAGTCAGGAAAGATGCCAGGAAGGCACCCTGCTATGAAAGGAGCCCTAGCACATAATCCCAAGCTGCATGAGCTGCCCGGATGTGAAGGGACTTCTACTTTGCATAACAGAGGTCCCCAACATAAGCCTATATGTATGTAAGTTCCTCATGTGTGCCTGGTGACTGAGGAGTTGAAAGAGGGCACCAGATCCCCTGGAACTAGAGCTAAGATATGATGTGGATGCTGGGAACTGAACCTGGATCCTCTGGAAGAGCAGTAAGTGCTCTTAACCACTGAGCCATCTCTCCAGTCCCAAGATGCATATTAATTAATCTTGATATCAAGTATAATCCTTTTACTATTTAGTGATTTATTTATTTTTGATTTATGTGTATGAGTGTTTTGCCTGCATGTATGGAAGTGCACTTTGTGTTGTGCATGCTGTGGGGCCAGAAGAGGGCTTCAGATCCCCTGGAACTGGAGTTCAGGATGGTTGTTTAGCTGCCATGTGAGTACTGGGAACCAAACCCAGATCCTCTCAACAGCAGTGGCTCTTAAGTACTGAGCCAGCTCTCCAGCTCCCAGTCCTTTTACTTTTTAAGGATTTTTATTGTAAAATAAAAATTTTCTTTGGGTAGAACCCAAAACCTTTTCTTTGGGTAGAACCCCTTAACTAGTTAAACCTATATTCTTTGTTCCATTTTAGATTAAAAGTATGACTCAACTGAATAAAAATGTGGGTCTTCTCACTGTCTATCACTGTCTTCACTTGAGAACCTGACCTGGAAAGCTGTCATGCATGCACTGTGTTTTTTTGCCAGAGCCTTACAACACCCCAGACCACACACTACTCCAAAATTCTAAAAAACTCTGAAGGATGGCTTTGCTCAACAGTGCTGTTGCTATTTCAGAAATGTGGTGGAGACATCCAAGATGTAGATATTTTCTTAAGAAAAATCTTTTCTGGTTCATCAGAGTGTTCTCCTTGTCCATTTTCTCCTTGCCCTGACATTTCTTTGTGGTAGCTTTGGATTTATAGAAGCTAGCATGTGTGTGCTGGATTTCTTCTAGATTGGTCGTCTGGTTATTGGACAGAATGGAATCCTTTCTACCCCTGCTGTGTCCTGCATCATCCGAAAAATCAAAGCCATTGGTGGGATCATTCTGACAGCCAGCCACAACCCAGGAGGGCCCAATGGGGATTTTGGAATCAAATTCAATATTTCTAATGGAGGTGAGTTTTCTGTTGTTTTGACATATTTGGATTTATATTCAGCTGTATAAGCTAGTACCTGCAGCCCTGGGAGGCCAGGTTCTGGGGCTCATCTGTAGAGAGACTTTGCTTCCTTTTGCTGCCAGGGACATGCTTCTTACTCTGCTGTACGTCAGAAAGAGGAGCCATGCACACATTCCCACTAACATGATATTTCCTTTTAGAGAATTCTGACACTATTAAGCTGGATACCATGCACATGCTTGCAGTCTTAGTGCTTGGGAGGCTGAGGCAGGTTGTGAATTTGAGGCCGATATAGATTATATAAGAAGACCCTGTCTCAAAAAGAATCTGAAAAAAAAAAAATCATGATACCTTTTGATGTGGTGGAAGCATGCTAGGATAGAGGAACTGCTGGGCTGTGGGCTGTATTTTCACATGAACTGTGCACTGTGACCCACTGCTCACTGTGTGATTTGTAGGTCCTGCTCCAGAAGCAATCACTGACAAAATTTTCCAAATCAGCAAGACTATTGAAGAATATGCAATTTGCCCTGACCTGAAAGTAGACCTTGGTGTTCTGGGAAAGCAGCAGTTTGACCTGGAAAACAAGTTCAAGCCTTTCACAGGTAAGTTTACCTTCCCTTCCCACACACTCCTGTTTCCAGCTTGAGCAATTTTCCTTTCAAAGTTTTGTTAATGGGTCTTCAGCTTTGGAAAATGGTTGTCAATGAGCTTTGCATCAATTAATTACTTAGCAGGTCTGGAATTAGGTTTGGGAGTGTAGAGACCTGGGCTCTTTGGCCTTGCCAGTGATGAGTTGTATGACTGGCTAATTTGTTTCTAACTTTCTAGTCCTCAGTTTCTGTACTGGTAAACCAAATAGCCTTGACTAGAAGACCTGTCAGATTAATCTTGAACTCCTACTATGTACCCATGCATTTCCTACTATGTGCCCATTACATTTCATTCTTGGATTGGGACTGTGGGGCAGCACTATCAGTGTCAACCATTGCAGCAGAAGCAGCAAAGGCTGAGAGGTGTCCGTAACAGACTCACAGTAGTCAGTGAGTGGTAAAACCAGGATTCAAACTCAACTTTTTCCTTCCCTGATATTCAGTAAAATCAATCAGACCATGTTTTGGGGTTGCATTGAAACTCACCATAAAGGAAGCTGTGATTAGCATTTTGTTGTTGAATGTTAAGGTATTGCAATAATCAGTGGAATAAATGTTTATGAATTCATGTTAATAAAATGAAGATGAGATGGTTCTCAATATGACCTGCATTTTGGGTTTGCCAAACTTGTACACTTTCCTCTGGACTGAAACTTTAGAGAGTGCATTTTGTTTGTTTGAGTCTACCTATCAAGGGCTGACAGTTGTATCTTAATAAACATAGAGTGGCACTTTAGTATATAGTGAAGACATTCTTGGTGTTCAGGAAACACTAGATATTCATAAACTCTTAATTTATTGAAAACATCCAGAACCCCTGAAGAGCCAGTAACAAGAATATTAATCCTTACATTTGTATCCCACTAGTAGTGCATACAAAAATGCAAAAAGTGGTTCATTAGGGAACTTTTTTTTTTTTTTTTTGCCTTTTACCGTAAAGTCCTGGTGATAATGAACCTAGAAGAAGAAAAGTAGGTGTTGCTAACTTTTTTTGTTATCCATGATGCCAAAATACAAGTGATATGGGATGTATCAAGATACTGGGTGGCAGCATACAGAGTTCATCCAGCCACCATCGAAAATCCATGTCCCTCCCTAGCTGCACAGGCAGTTCCTGATCTTTCAGACCTTCAGTTTCCTTGTCTGTAAAATGGGACTAGAAGCATTTATGTGAAGGAGAATTGTTAGTATTGAATAAGATGTCATTTAGCAGTCCTGTCATAATCATTCTTTTGCAGGTTTACAGAAACATAGCTACTTTGGAGTACAGAATGTCTAATTAAATATGCTTTGTTCTACCTTTTAATGTTGCTTGTTCTCATAGTGGAAATTGTGGATTCGGTGGAAGCTTATGCTACAATGCTGAGAAACATCTTTGATTTCAACGCACTGAAAGAGCTACTTTCTGGTCCAAACCGACTAAAGATCCGAATAGACGCCATGCATGGAGGTGGGAACTGGTGGTTCTTCAGAGATGGGGAGTTGCTCTTTCTTGTGTGTGCCTTGATGCACTTCACAGTCCTCTCCTTAAGCCTCTGATGGCTTAAACAGAATTATTTTGCAACCATTTCAGAGCTATATTTACACAGTTAAAATATCTCATTGTTGGCACGCAAAATAGTAGAAACATTCCTCATGGCAAGCTGGTGTGAGAGTCAGTGTATCCATGTTAAGCCCTGAGCTTTGAGTCACATGCAGCTGCTGCTGCAGATACTCTCTGTCCCTTTGCACCCCTGTATGTCTCTGAGGGGGTGACCATTGACTCAATAGCTAGCTATCTGTGGTAAACATGTTCTTGATGCACCCCCCGCCCCACACACCTCCACATGCTCCTATTTTTAGATGGGGCAAGAGAAACCTGAGGATTAAACTCACCAACAACAGAATGTGTATCTCCCAGTCTTCTTCTGCTGTGGGCTATTTGACCAGGCCAGTGGATGGATAGCCATGACCACAAACAGGTCCATGGGGATCTGTCATATATACAACATGAGAATCTATGAGTATTTAGGTTATCTGTATGTTTTGAAATAATTAAAATTTTAGAATGTCAGAGAGGCAGGGATTCTTTCATGTGTGAAACCCACACACTTGTCTGTCTGGTTAGGGAAGACTGCCTCTGCCTGAACTTGTTTGTGGTGCTGTGCATAGGCCACTGATATACTGAAAACCATAGTGAGAATCCTCCTGATGGGCTTCAGTCTTCTATTGGGTCCTTGCTGGCCCTCTGGGGTTTCATTTCATGTGAAAGGATTGTATAATCTTCAGCCAGTCAGCAGACATGACTTCTTCATGTGTGCATACTTGGGGAATAGGTGGGGACTTGGGGATGACTTCCTCCAAAGACTGATGTCTGGGAACACAAAGTAGGTGACAAACTAACCAACTAACTAGACCAGTGATTTGAGATTTAGGTGGATTTCAAGTATTCTCTTTGGGGTATGGAAAATGTTTGACTAGGCACATCAAGAAAACGTTCCAGAAAGAAGTAGCTTCCAGCTCAGCTTTCACAAAACACTTAAGGTGGTAGAACACCAGCGAGGCTTGCTCCCTATCGAGGTAGTGGCTAAAACAAAAGCACAAGGCTTCAGAGTGGACATCAGATGGGGAGTGAGAAGCCTGGCAGGCTTGAGGGTGGACCGTGTGAGAGGGTTCTGGGGAGAAGCAGGTCAGGAAATGGCTGCTTTTCTCCAGGCCTCTCAGGCCTCTGAGTTCTCTGTGTACATCTTTTTAGCCTTGATTGCTTAAGACTATTGTGTCATGTGTCAATGGCCACCTTAACATGTGGCCTGTAGTAGGAGACACACATCCTGTGCTGTTCTATCCTCTGGCTAATTCCTCCCACAATGAGAACAAGGAAGCATTCTTAGTATTTTAGGCACGTACTCTACCACCAAGCTATATCCCCAGCCCTTGTCAGCATGCTAAAGATGAGTATTCTTGATAGCTCCACAAAATGTCACTGTAAATTTGTGAGTGTTCCTCTGTTGTTACTGGCTTTGCTTGCTTATTCATGGTTTGATATAGTAGGAAGATAAGTGTCCTAAATTGCAGCTCCCATATCTTCAGGGTCTGTAAAAGTCTGGGCCATAGATCTTTGTTGCAGAAACTCTGTTTTCTTGTCTGTAAGTGTCTGGAACTATCCCCAGCCCTTACTGTCTCCTAACTCTTATTCTCTTTGCCTCGATCCTGTTAGGTAGTTACTGTTATAATCTTCACAGATTAGAAAGACTTGAAGTACAGAAAGACTTGATAGTTTTCCATAGTCATACAGGCAGTAATTGGCAAAGCTGGGATTTGAACCCAGACAATCAGATGCCAGAGTCCAGCTCTCAAGTACTAAACCTTGTGAAAGACTAAATGAGGAAACAGCACCTGCCCTGGGTGTGGTAGGCCTTCATAATGGTTATTTCTCCTCCCTTCCCACTTTTTCATTTATGAACCTGCCACACTTTTTCCAACCTGATCTTCCATCATTCCTATCTGGAGACCTTCCACCCCCATCAGACTTCTCTGCACTGGCTTCCGAACATGGTGTGCACATTCCCACTGTGGCCTAAGCCATTCTTATTCCCAAAGTGTGCACCTCACCTCTCAATCCTCACATGTTTTAATATGTTTTATTTTCTGACTCTTCATCCTTTTATTTGCACTTTATGTAGTTGTGGGGCCGTATGTAAAAAAGATCCTCTGTGAAGAGCTTGGTGCCCCAGCAAACTCAGCAGTGAACTGTGTTCCCCTGGAGGACTTTGGAGGCCACCACCCTGACCCCAACCTCACCTATGCTGCTGACCTGGTGGAGACCATGAAGTCAGGAGAGCATGATTTCGGGGCTGCCTTTGATGGAGATGGGGTGGGTACAGAATTTAAACAAATTCTCATGCAAGCCAGGCCTTGAGATGGGGAAAAATGGGCAGCTTCTACCAGGCCCTGGGAGCTTGGTGAGCAGCTGTCAATGGTCTCTCATTGCACTAGGGGCCAAAACCAAATGATTAAAAACCCTCTTGAGTAGGAATAAGAGTCTTTGAAATGTAACACGTGCATTGAATTTCAGGCGTTTGTATTTGCTGAGTGACAGTGTTATGAGGTCCCAGCTATGATATAGTGACTGTACTTCATAAGTTGTTTGATATTAGATCTCCTAAGGAAGATCTCTGCTCTCAGCCAGCAGCTAAGTATTTAATCTCTAGAAAAGATTTTGTTGTTATACCTGTCATTCATGCATATCAGATGGGTGATGAAAACTCTCCTTTTATAGCCAATATGAAAACTGATAAGAGAATTAACATTTTTCTCTACAATGAAAATTTGGGGTATAAATTGCTTCCTTATGTTGGTGACCATGTAAAGACATGTCTTAGGTATGTATCCCTGGTATGTCACAGACAGTAAGTGCTAAATGTGTTTATTACACTGAAATTTCACGTTTGCTGTTGCTAATGTGTTTTGCCAGCTAAAACCTACTATTTCCTTGAAAATAGTTTTTCTCCACACCAAAATTTGGAAAAGTCAAAGGGGTTCATAGCAGACATTTTGCAATACATCTGATGTAGTGCATGTTGGGAATTTTTCCTCATGTAATCAAATGCTCCAGAGGAGACAGGTATTGGGCACCTTGGAAACAGTGAAGGTAGCGACATAGTTTGTTGGTCTAGTACCAAATGGAGGGACCATGATTTAGAAGCCCTTGCCTGAAGAAATCTGCCTTTGTTTCTCAAAGGATGCTGGTAGATCTGTCAAACTGTGTAAACAGCCAACATTTCCTCTCTTGCACATCCTTTTTCCCTCCTCTGGGAGAGATGTGATTGGTTCCAGAGTTTGGAAAAGGTCTAGGAGGTTAAAGTCAGCTGGCCCCTGGAGGCAGAACAGAGGATTTAGCTCAAAAGGAGTTTTTGCTTGCACTTTAATTGAAACCAGTTTTAACTCTTGGGTATAGAGGTGCCTTTGGCCCAACAGTATAGTGCAAATCCACTAAAAATCCAGCATTTAAAGCCCAGTATGAGTAAAGGTATCCATTTTGTTTTATAAAACTCCATGAAAGATCATTGGTAGTTTGCGTAAAAGGTAACATTTTGAATCTCCCTTCTTCCCAAGGATCGGAACATGATTCTGGGCAAGCACGGGTTCTTTGTGAACCCTTCTGATTCTGTGGCTGTCATCGCTGCCAACATCTTCAGCATTCCATATTTCCAGCAGACAGGTGTCCGTGGCTTTGCACGCAGTATGCCCACAAGTGGTGCCCTAGACCGGTAGGTCTCTCCATTCCCTCAGCCCACCAGTCTCGAATCACCCCTTTCTTCACTGTACCCTTCACTGTATCTGCAGTATGTGTCCTCCCCTTTCAGCACAGCCAGCTGGTGCAGTGTGTTGAGTGTTTCTTGAATGAGAGAATGAGTAAGTGTTTTCAGGATTAGCTCTTTTCTAAACTCCGTTAGTATCTTGCACTCCTCCAGCCCAGTACTTACCATACTATATTCTGAAAGGCCATCTATTTGATTGGCTGCCCACCTAGACTATCACTTTAACAAAGAAAATACTGTCTTTTCACCATCCTAGATTCTGCCTGACAGTGTGCCTAAATATCGTAGGATATGCACACATTCATCATTCTAAAAACTGATTGAATGATTGAACATTAATGAATAAATGAATGGAAGGCACTCTCTTTGAATACAGGCTATTCTGCAGAATCACTTTCAGTGAACAGTGTGCATGCACTGTGAGTGAAAGTAATTTGAAGTAACTTTATACTTCCACCAGAACTGAATTGACCTAGCACACTTAAATAGTCATTCTTT